CAAGATGTCCACGATGAGTGTCGTGTCGAATTCGTCGTCGGTCGAGGTAGACTCGGACTCCTCGAACGATATCTCGGGCAAAGACGACGGACCCGCCGAGCAGAAGTTCATACTGCGTAACGAGCTTTACAACAGCCTGCTCGCAAGCGCTCTGGGAAAGACCGTGCTCAACAGGCATCTGAACTTCAAGGAGCAGGGGATTAATTTTAATCTGGCCAATCTGAAGGATAACCTGAACGCGCTCGGCGCCCTTAAGGAGCTGAAGGATCTCAAGGGATTGACTGTGAGCAGCGTACCCGCGTTCCCGAGGAACCTCGCCTTGCACCGGGAAGATCACGATGAGGTCAGCCTTTTGCGAGACACGTTCGTGTTCTGGAATTTTTCTTTTGATTTTGTCTAGTCCTTTTGCGTGAAATTCCGATCGGATTTTAGGGTCCAAGTCATGAGAGATAGGTTCTTGAACCGCTATAGATTGTGCAGGGTGAAACACAGAAAGGGTTTGTAACTTCTGGGATAGATAGTACTTGCCAAATCATGAAAAAAATCTTGAGTTAACAAATGGATATTATGGTTGCTTTACATTCAATATAGAAACCATTATGTATGTGTATTCCGTTAGTTTCAATTGTGTTTATCTACATTTATCAGAATCAATCCATGAATTCTGAACAATGGTCGAAAAGCCGCGTAGCTCTCACGGCGTACAGTCTCCTCCCCCAAAGCCATTTCGAAACCAGAGCATCAAGATCAATAATCCCGAAAAGAATCCGCGTCTTCACTGACCTACCCTCTTCCGGACCTGCCCGAGCAACCACCCCCGCGACGAAAGAGGAAGAAAACAAATTCACAAATTTCCTCCGTCGCGGAACGATTGAAAACACCCTCGAACAAACAAGGGAATTTTCACCGGAGAAAAAGCGAGGGAAAATCTCGGGAAGAAAATGGGAGACTTTAAAATTATTAAGAACCATTCAAAGGGAAATACTTTAAGATAAAAATATAATTAAGATCTCTAGGATATTAAGAATTATTCTGAATTCATGACGGTAGTTAAAGAAGGGTTAGGCTGAACTGCGTGGTGGATACCGTTTCAGGGATGAAACACGTGTTTAGAAGAGACATCGCGAAACGTTCTATGTAAGTTGTCGGTTAAAAAGTTAGCGGATCCTTAAGTGCAACGAGTTCTCGCGTAATGGGAGCACAAAACGACGGGGGTGAAGGGGCCTGCGGACGCCGCTGCGGAGGGATACCGTCGGCTAGAAGGAAATCCTGTTTGCTTGACAATTACTTTTTGTTTCGCCCGCGAATCCAGTCTTCGACTTTCGAACTACTTTGTCTGTTCGTCTTCTTCCGTTTTCGCCCTCTTGTCTCTTCTTCTACTTCTTCCTTGCAGCTCGTAAATTGGTGTCTCGGAACTCTTAACTCTTTGGCGGTTAATTTGCTCGTCTTAGCGGTATTTGAATTTAAATGGAAGTTTAAGTTTGAATAAGACTTGCCAGTTAACGAAATCATATTCCAATTCGTTTCACAAACGGTTCACGGAGTAGCTATTAATCCTTAGACACCATACTAGTGCGAACTTGCACCAGTGAAACATCGTTTCGTCTGCAACATTCTATGTGGCCAGCATTACCGTTTGAAATTTTAATAGTTAAAAAATTATTTTTCACTTTTGCAAGTATTGCCATTGAATTTTTGCGGAAATTTTTTTTAGTCTTAAAATCGTCGAATATTCTTAGCGGGGAAATTTCACCGCCGCGGCTTGTAATTCATTCATTTCTCGCAAAGACGCCCCGCGTCGACTTCCTGTTGCTTCCTTTTGCTTTCTGGCCGAGTTATCGCCACGGGGTAACTTTTCTTGGCACGTTCGCGGTTTTGGCTCGGCTTAGTTGATTTCCCGTGCAACGCTTGACCCGAATCCGTGACGCACTTTCTGCCAGTTACTACTATTCCGCGTGGGTGAAATTTCGTCTTCTTAGACATTTCTCCAATTACACCCTCTTTCTTCTCCGTATTCTTCACCTCTTTGCTCTTGGGTCGTTTTTCTCGATGCTATGCAATCGATTGCTTTCTACTTACAAAAATCGACCTTATCATATCAAAGATTCTAAAATTCAAATTTCTGATTTACGTATCTCACTAAAACGGAATTCAAATCTTTCGAAGATAAAATATGAATATACTTTTCGACTTTCAATAATCGAGGGTGAAATTTTGCGTCGATCCAATAGAGGGACGTGCCGCGGGGCAATACACGAGGAATTAAAAGATTTTGCAGTTAAAAAAAAGAGAATCGATTTCCCCTTCACGCGGAGCGGTCATGCTTTTGTTGCGTCGCGGCGGCGAAAGCGAGAAAACCCAAGCAGAGGAGGCGCAGGCACAAGAGGGAAATCGGCGACACACGGAACACAGGCGAGCCCGGCCCGAGAACGTGTAATTAAGTGCCAGGCAATAATGAAACGCATCATCCCCCCCGTCTTCGTTCAAGAAATAACAACCCTCCCCTTGGGCACCCGGGGGATGGTCCTTTGAGGAGAACAGGCAATCCGAGCCGCGATTTCTAACGAGCTTTCTCACGATGCGTGCTGCGCGATCAATTAACAGCTGACGGGCTAATTACTAGTCACAGAACGCTGAGAAATGGTGGATTTAAGGGGTTGCCCACGGAAATACTTTTACTTCCGGCGACATCGATCCTGAATTAATTTCAGTTTTCCAGAGTTCAAGTTTCTCGAAGAGGTTTCGACACTTCTACGATCACAAACGCAAATTTTTTTTGTATAATCGTCATTTCAATTAATTCATTGTTTAATCCCAGTGTTCATAATCGAAAAATTCCACACCTGATTCCTTATGGAAAAAAAATAAGAAAAAATGTTTAAATAAATGTTGTCCATATCTCGTATAAATATTTCGGCGAGGAATCAGCTGATTATAGGACGTATCCTGATTGGTAACGGTCTTCGGGGTTCGTTTAAATCAGAAGCAACGCACAGAGTCACATTATCCAAGTGAAGACCTGCTGAATTATTCAGTAAGGTCCTTAATTGGTAATAGTTTATCGGACGGTTTGACACACCCCGGACAGGTGAATATTATTTTCGTTATTTCTATTCTCGCGGTGGATAACGGGGGTTCTGGCTTTGTCGCGTTCGACGACGTATCGATTCGCCATCGGCTGACATTTCTCTTCTTTCTCGGTGGCTATGAATTTCTTACGACGTTTCCGCTGCCAATCGATACCGTCTGAAATCGTCACGCAATTATATACACGAATTTTCCGATTTATTCTCGAGCCTCCTCGAACTTATTCGATTCGTGAAAAATCAACCAAATATTTAGTCTCCTCGACGGTTCTTCTTTCTTGTCGTTCACTCTCGTCGACTTCTAAGTGTCTTCATTATGAATTATTTGTACGTGGATTCACTAGAAAATTCGTTGTCCTGTGTCTTTTACACGGTTGGACATTTTGTTGTTCAATCGAATCCTGGTAATTTCTATGTTAAGCAAGAAAAAAGAGGAACATAGTGATTTCATGGATTATACAGGAAAACCCTTTAATTTCTCATCGTTGTTGCTGGATTCCTTAGTTTGTACCTGATCGCGGCGTGTCAGTTTTTAGTTTAATCGCCAACGAAATGATAGACCGCGAATCACGACGAAAAATCCTAAGGAAACGGTGAAGGAACTTTGTAATTTCCCAGATTGCATGGGGGCAGGGTAATCTTCTTTCCATAAAATTGGAGGCTTGCATGCCGTGAATGTGTCTCAAATTGACGCCAGCGCAACGATGTGCAAGGTTAACACGGTTGCTGGGAGATTAAGAGTTAAGAAAGTGGCTTCGTGTCTGTGCGTCGCTTTGAGTTTTATAGAGTTGCTAACTTAAAAGGTAATTTGTAAAAGAAATATATTTTCACAGGAAGATGCGTCTCGATTAGGTTGGACGTTGAAAATAAAGTTCTATACCAGTACTTAAATTCTGCTGAATATTTAACAGCGTCCTCTTTTGGATAATCGATTAAATTACCGTGTAAAATGTAAAGGTGATTTCGAGCATTCAACCGACAAAAATAATGCAGAGAGGGTTCATCGTCCGAATTAATAAACGTGTCTACGTTCATTAAAGCTCCAAGCTCTGAAACCTGAGATTAATGACTTCGATCAATTGATTTACACGGAATCCCTTTGATGTCACTCATGCAACAAAGTTGCACACTCCATCCGGGACTAAGTAGCAAGCGTGAACGCGGCTTTAACCCGTTCAGGTGCTCAGGCGCCACGCTCGCTGATTTATCGATCAATTTATTAATGGGTCAGCTCTTCTCGTGCGCTCGATCATGAATATCGGATGAAGCAGCCCGGACAGCCGAGCGAGGTTCATAATTACGGTGATTAATGCCCCGGGCTGGATTAATCGACGGCGGCGACGCACGGGGGCTTATTTTCGAAATTGTCCTTTGGAAAAATCGAAAATCCCCCCTCCCCCTCTCTATACGCTTGTTGTTTTTTCTTCCAGCAACGAGACCGTGTAATTTGCCGGGCCTTTGAGCAACTCTGTTGCCGGCACTTCTGACTTCGTGTTCGGAATTTCATTTCAGAGGGGACAGTTTCAGCAAGAAACTTCCCACGAAATGAAATAATTATCGTAACTCGATATAACGTGTGATCCTCGAGGATGCACTTCGATTAATCGTGTTAATTTTGTGTTGTGGAACTTCGTTCATTCTCAATTTTGACTGTAATCTCTTCTTCAGCAGAGGTAATGAAAAGGCTAGCAAATTACCATTTTTAAGGTTGATTTTACTGGCAGAGATTAATTAATGTTCACATCGATGTATTAAATTGGAATCAATCCGTAATTTACAGAAGAATTTAATGAAAATCCACCCTTTTCTTACAACCTATGTTTTGTTTAATTACATTGCTGGAATCACTAAATAATGTGATCCCGTTTTTTGCATGGTGGGGGTGGAGGGGGAGGAGGTGGAGGGGGAGGAGGTACAGGAGGCGCCGGAACTGGAAACACGGGCCCAGCGGCCACCGGGGGTGGTGGCCTGGCCCATTGGGTCAGCGTGATGGCGGAACACATCCACAACCCCCATTCCGCGACAGGGGTTGGGAGTGTTCATCACCAGCAACAGTCACCCCCTCAACCACCCTATCCGTGGAACAACGGCCTTTCCAGTGATGTGAGTACTTATGAACATTACGAATCTGTCGCTTTACATTATAGATTATCGAATGTACTACTGAAACCAATCAGAGTACTTGATCGATGAAGAACTCTGAGGGATGAAACTGATATCAAAGGCACAAATATTATAATTCGAAATATGTAGATTTTTGGAACATTTAAACAATTTTTCTGTGCAATTAAAAAGCGCGCGTGATAGCTCGTTTCCTCTATGAACTATAAAAGGGTTGTAGGAACCCTAAGAAAGTAATAGGTACTTCGAATATTCAACTGTCCCTAAAACGCATCGAAAAAAATCTCCCAGGAAGCGAACGGTTATCCAACGGACAAAACTCGAAGACGAATAAAAAATGATGGTGAGGTTGACGAAACAACGGTTGCGGCATTAAAATCTCCCAGAAGACGACGCCGTTAGACCCGCGCGTGACTACGTGGACCAGGCCGCAGAAATGTGCGAAAAAAAGGGGGATCTCTCGGGTTTTTTTTCGCCGTGGAACGGGTTGTACCCCTGTTTCGATTTTGTTTTTTCCCTACCCCTCTTTCTCTCTCTGGTTTTCTCCGGGCGGGAATGCTGCATAATTTCGACGAGGCCGGATTAAAAAAACGGAATAAGAGAAAGTGAAAGGACACGGGGTTACGAAGACAAAGAAGTCGACGGGACCTGGTGGATAGGAAAAAAATGAGCGGACGCGTGATGGGGCGAGGTTCGAAAGGGTTGGATGGTCGCTTTGCATACTCCTCGCCCCGCCTCGAGTTGGATGAAAAAAAAAACAAACAGACGGAAGCGCGAAAAAAACATTTTTCCACCAGAGGACCACGGGGTGGGGGTCGATCTGAATGCACCGGGATTCGTCGAGAATCTGCGTTAAGGGATGGAAGTCTTTTTACTGTTCTTCGTGGTGCAACGGTATTCTTAGGATTTTTTTTGGCACATTCGATCAGGCGATCGTATAAATATTTTTTGTGGATATTTTAACGGAAGTCTCTTCTACGATCCTCCTCTATTAAACGGGATGAAACTCTGTTTTGGTGGCTAGAAGACAGTCTTCTGAATCCTTCGGCCTATCAATAAATTATTTTTCATTAGAATTCATTGTCCTATCGTATGTACGATATACACTTCGTCCAGTGTCCCTCTCTGAAACTCGAGGAGACAATTCCTTCCTCTTAGCGTCTCAAAAAGAAAAAAAAAACAAACAGGACCATTTTCCAACGGACAAAAGCAACATCAACCAATTGAAACCACAGTGTACTGACAATCGTGGCAATCAGAAACTACCCCCTCCATCAGTCTACGAAACAATGAACCGGGGACCAACGGTGCGTCTCGTCCCGTGACACGTCGCAAGGTGCTACGAATCACGTTCACGAATTCCGAATGACCGCTCAGGGAGACCCCGAAGGGCTGCACCGGGGCAGGAAGACACTTCCGTGGGCCCCGGTGGAGATCAGCCGGTTCTCTTTTTTTTTTGTCTATGCTAGGACCCACGCTATGGAACCTTGTGGAGAGGCCTCCAGGAAAAAACAAGGAGCCACGACAATGAGGGGACGATTTAAATAATCCGCGGCATGCAAATGCCCCGGAGATTCTCACGGGCCCGTAAGCCGTGGCCAAAGGAGCAGGGAGGATGGGGGGGGGGAGGGGAGGTTGATCGACCGAGAGAAAAAGGAAGAAGGAACCGAAGACAATCGGGCAATCTGCATACCGACTCATACGGGCGCTTCCGGCTACCCTTCTTCCGCGTGTTAACGGGGATGATCGACGACGTCAGGGAAGAATGTAATTGAGGGTTCAGACCGCGACGTTTGTTCTTGACGAAAGTTCAGTTTACTTGCAATATGTGGTGGTTTTGTGTAACAGTGACACGACTGGTGAGAGGCAAGAGGTTTTACGAATCATGGTACATGTAACATAGGCAGGATAAAGAACAGAAAGAAAGCAGAAGTTTGTGACAATTCACATTTTAAGATAGTAGTATCTAAAAAATAAAATGGAACAGATTTTGAATCGCTCAACAGACACTTTACTACGTTTAATTTTCCAAGTTAAATGACACTATAAATGCACAAACGTCCTCCCATTCTACCGATGTCTTGTCGATCACCCACAATATTCGCAATAAAACATTCCTCTGTGAGAAAAAGTCGCTCTACCTCTTGTCGTCAGGAGAAAAAGTATCTGCCCGAGTTCCCTGATTAAAAACTGAAAGTGTACAAAAAACAAGTAGGACAAAAACCGGCAGCCTCAAAGTAGTCCAAGGCCATCCGAGAGTGCCCCCGAGCGAGCCGAACAAGGGGGCTGAAAAGGAAGAACCCGAGCGCAGCAGCAAAGACTTGGTACCCCTGTAAACACGTTTTCGGATGTTGTAATCTGTCGCTGGTTTCGCCCAGCGGGTGGTCAACCCTTTTTCCATGCTTTTTTACGCCTGCCCGACCTTAATCCCTTAAAACGCTTAGAGCAGCTCTTTAGGGTAATTTCCTGATAGAACGATGGGAGGGGGGGGGGATGTATATAGATGGATGGATGGATTCACCCTGGAGGTGAAGATGCAAAACACCTTGGAAAACACCGGCCCCTGAATCGGCTAACTGGAATCCCCGCGCGTGAGACTCCCGGCAAGGAGCTACCCTTACGAAGATTATGCAAAAGAAGACTTTTCCACCCCTTTGGCTCTGGTGCTCTCCCTCTGTCCCCCTTTGCCACGGTGCCGGGACGAAAATTAAAATAATGGCTCTCCGTGTATGTACCCTGCTGCCAATTTTTTTTCTCTCTACCCCCACCCCTTTTTAAACCCCCCCTCCACGTCTCGTCCCTTTTTTTGCTGGTTCCTCGGTCGAATTTTTTTTCTCGCATTTTTTTTCTTGTCTCGGACCAAGGAATGCAAATCGTGCAACGGCATTTTTGTCTCGGCGCGACGTGAGACAAAAAAAAAAGTAAGAGAACGCGCGCTGGATATTTGGGGAGAGAGGCTCATTGTCTCGTTGACGGGGCGCGCGTTCGTTACGGGGCCGATGGAGGAAGGGGATAGTCGCAAGGCAACCCCATCGTGTGTCGCCCGTTTCTCGATCTGGATATCGACTAATGAATTTTCGCCGTAACGTATCGCGACACGGTGAGATCGTTAAAGGTGCAACGAACGCAACGATTTTTTTTTTACGTAGACTTCTTTTCGAGGTGGTACATTTTGTTCGTGGGGAGGCTGACGGTTGTGTCCCAGCTCCATGTTAGTTTTTTTTCCAACGTTCTTTTTTTTACGGGATCAGGGTTAGACAGTGAATTCTCGTTGACCGGATTTTATTAGGGGAATGCTTTTTATTGTAACTCGTTTTTAATTTCGAGTTTCGTACGGAGTGAGATTGTGAATGACTCGTTTAATATATCGGAGATTATTTGATCGAACCGGAAGGGTGGAAGAACGAGGGATGATTACACGCTGGGACATACAAGGATAGTTTTAGTATAATTTTCATTGCCACTTTTTTCGAGATACATTCTCTTTTTTTTTTCTTTCCGTTAAAAGTATTCCCATCGAATTTAAAATGGTGACGCGAGAGAGAAGGACACGCACCCCTGAAGGAATTCTTCCACCGGGGGTGAAGGTACTCGCGCGAATCGGAGAGATCGCCGGGGTGGAAACGCAGCCCTGCAGCGTTCTGCATCTCTCGTGCTTCTAGGCGAACGAGTACGATAAAAAAAAGAAAGAACGAAAAGAAGAAGCGTGGAAGAAACCAAAAGGGAAATCACCGAGAAATTGTTCCGCCTCGACGGCGAGCACCACCGTCGAAAGGATCGTGAGGACGAAATCGCGGGAAAAGGGCCCATAACTCCTGTCCTGGGCCCAAATGTTGTGACACTGTCGCCGTAAAGGGGTTGCCTTCGATGCAACTCTCGTCCATTGTCTATGGCTTCGATCCCTGATCGTCAACCAACGCTGCTAGTCCGCGGGGGGTTGTGCGTAGAGGGGTTGTAATGGAGGAAATGGAAAGTGTGAAATTTCCAGGGACAAAAAGTAACAGTAGTATTGTGAATGGTGGGAGATTTCGATGAAAAGGAAGCGGTTGATGGCGATGAGAATAATATCTACGTGTGTGGAGAATATCCTGGCAGTTGAACATGGAAGAACGTTCAGATGATCCATTAACCACCCCCAATAAGAAGAACTTTGATTCTTTTAAACGTTTTTTACTTCATTTACATTTCCACCTTATGACTTCTACAGCTTCGTCGAAACGTCTTTTCATCCCGTAACTTAGTTTTAACGAAAGAAGTAGAAAAGAAACATTTGATATATTGATTTTAGTTTTATCATTAACATAATATCGGTTTTAATACCGTTTTGTAAGACAAAGTGTTCATCAGCGTATCGAAATGAAAAGGCTAGACGCGTCACCGCGTCCTGTGACCGTTAACCCCGAAGACGTGACCAAGAAACTCCGCTAGAAGCGCCGTTAGACGATGGAACGAGATGAGAAAAAGTGGTTGGCACCCATGAAAGACACGAACGTTTCTTCCGGAGATTACGCGGTCCCGGCTCTCGATGGACAAAAAAACATCGAGAGAGAGTCGGCCGTATAAAGGGTGCCGCTAGCGAGCAAGAGGGGTGCGTATGCAGATCGTCGTGAAAGTGGAGTACAAAGGGCCCATAGTCTCACGCTATTGTGGGGCTCAGGTAAGATAAAGGTACGCCGGCCCTCAGGGCGCCCGTCGAACACACCACCCGGTCCTCATTCTCTCTCTCTCTCTCTCTCTCTCTCTCTCTCTCTCTCTCTCTCTCTCTCTCTCTCTCACTCTCACCTCCTGATGTCTCTTTAATTTTTATTAATGACGACGAATTTGAATTTCTGCATCAGTGATATGGGAACGACGCGCCTTTGACGACGACGACGCCTGTACGTGACTCAGACGAATATCTCGTAGAAACACCGCTACTCTCCCTCTCTCTCCCTCTCTACTCAGTCATCGATCATAATTATTCGGTTTATCCCGGGATGGAG